ACAAGGCGAGCTCAAGCTCGAGCTCGGTATTTGACAGCCAAGCTCGACTCGAACACCCCTGGCTCAAGCTTGACTCGACTCTTTTGCACTCCTAGTTTTAAACAACAATCAAGTTCATCGAGATTGTGAAAATGCCCACCATCCTCATTCTTCTGACTATTGCACTTCTTGATATAGGCACATCACTCAACTCAGTGTATCCAATGAGTTCAACATGGCAACCAACATGAGATTGTCTGCATGTCACAACTACAACCCACTATATTTTACGATCTTTAGCATCCACATCGCGTCTGTGTTAGTCTGTGTGGAATTTTATTGTGTCGATCAAACCAATTATAATGTTGCACTAGATCTAAAGTCAAATTTTTGTGCTCACTGAGGGGGGTCTTCCCCCTGTTCAGGCTCGGGCACTTTGCACATGAAAATGCTTTCCGTACAACACCCCGACGTTATGTACCTGAGTGCCCTGGCGTTGGGTTCCCGAGTGCCCTGGCGTTGGGTTCCCGAGTGCCCCTGCGCTGTGTTCTTAATTGCCCCGGCGCTGTATTCTTGAGCACCCCGGTGTTGCAAAGTTTGTTGAGAGAAACGACAGAGAGTGGAGCGTCGTAGCGCTCTAGATTTGGCACAGCAGCGCTATGTAGTTATGGTGTGCTGCGGGTTTGAGCATCGTAACATCGTCAAACGGATTGGAATTAGAGATTTGAACATCGCAGCGCTTCAAACTAGTGCCGCAGCGCTTCGAGACGGACTAAAAAAATTTCTTTCTTGGTGTGTGAGAGGAGAGAAGAAAGAAGAGAGTGAGAGAGAAGAGAGATTTGTATTTATTTCTCTCAATTTTCATAGTGCATTTTTTAGTATGGTATGATTCCCTAATTTTTTTTTTCTATTTCAAAATTTTCCGCATTAGATCTGGGTGACCTTTACTTTTTGCTACATTTCTATCTTTTTGTTTGTTTCGTTATAGTTTTTTACTTTCATCCCCAATAATTTGCCTCCTCAAGAAGACCATATATAACATGAAGCAAAGAACATATGCTTAGTTTGCCACATTCACCAATCCATCAAAAACTCAACTCCCTCCCATATGAATCGCAATCCAAATTTACCAATCCACTATAATATATCTCACTATCACAAGCCTCCACTACAGGAATATCGCGTATTACCGGTGGATTTTTCCGGCGGATAAATTACATTTTCCGGCGGATTTTGGAAGTTTCCGGCGGTTTTCCGACGGAAATCTTTTTGACGGTAAGCCTCGCGTCGCAAAAAAAATCAGTCGAATAAATACGTCGGAAAAAGTTTCTAGTGGAACAAATTCCGACATAAACTTTTTCCGGCGGCTATCCGGCAAAAACAATCGGCCGAGATCTCTCTTTTATGGCTAATCGTCTTTGTCAATCTATGCATAAATATCTCAACCACTTCAAACTTGTGTTGTAGTGCATTCTAGGAATCCTTGGCTACATCATCCCCATATATCATGATCAATTGAGCACCTTCAACTCACGACATATGCCAATTTTAATTGAGGGGGCAATCCCGAAGAAGAACAACAAATGGATATTGCACTTTTCTAAGCAATACTATCATTTGGTGGTATGTCAAAAAAATATATGATCATCATCTGGTCCTCAACTGAAGTAGAATATCGAGCAAAAGTCTCGACCGTTATTTATATCATTTGGCTCATATGACTGATACACTTCTATACAACGATAACATTTCCACCCTAACACATCTATACAATGACAACATTTCCACCGTTACATAGCATCCGAAGATCAACCAATGAATCTGAGGGTGTCAATGGGTCGAGCGGAGCTCGAGCCACCTCTGGCTTGTGTTTGATTAATTTATTGACTTCGAGTCGAAGCTTGAGCTTTATTGAGTTCGAGCAAGTTCTCCGTGCTCATTTAAGAAAAAATAATTATGATTTAAGCAATTATTAAATAAAATGATAAAAAGAATGCAAATTATTTATAAAAAAATAACGAATCATTTAATATATATAAGAAAATGAGATATAATTTTTAAACATTTTTATAAAATTCATGCATAAAATCCTGAGTTCTAATATATTATAAGTATATTTTGTATTAATATCTTTTACAAACTAGCCAGCTTGCAAGATAACAAACTGAGTCAGAGATTGCTCAAGCTTGACTCGCTAGTTGATTAAGCTAAGCTCACGAGTCATTTATTGAGCCGAACCTGAACTGATCAACTCATGAGTCAACTTGATTCACTTACACCATTAAACAGATCTACACATCAAGGGATTACCGACCAAACTATTCTATCTGATTAAGAGACAAGCTGCTGCTCCTCCCAGGCCCACAGTCTGAAGGTGCAATACTAAGCCCATCTACGACAAAAATTCAGAAAGGTATAGCCCACGAGCCCATGCAAAACTAACACAGCCATCATCAACCAGCCATATCATGTCTCTCTGTACCAATTTCTCAAACAAAAAAAAAGTCTCTGTGTACCTAATGGTGTTAAGTGCCTTAGCTTTTGCAGTTGGAACTACTTAATCAGCCAAACTTTTGGGGCAGGACTGAAGTACTATTGACAATCTAATACTGCAACTTGAATTGTAGTATAAATAGTAATAATTAATATTGTTTTTTATTTATATTTTAGCATGAAATTAAATAAATTTAGTATCTTCAAAATATATTATTTTTATTTATTTATGCGGGGGTGGCAGCGGTCATTCAGCAACTGTCTAGACAAGGGTGGTGACAATAGCCCATGATGGTTGTTGTTGGTGATCATCGTGACAGGTGGTGTTGGCCGACGCTAGTGACGACTATGACTGATGGATAGTTTTTTTTTATTTTTCAAATGTTATGGATATTGACAGTTAGCTAGATAGTAACAATATTTTTAATATTGGACGCAAAGAATCTTAGTTGAGACGAGATGGTTGTATCATTGTTAGTTATGAGGGTTTTTGAACTGAAGAAGAGTTGTTCGAAGACAAGGCAGCAAAGAGTATCAGACGTAGATGGAGAGAAAAAATAAAAAATCAATCGTGGGTCTCTGATACCATGTTGAATATGATGCATATCAAGAGGTCTTATCAAAGCTTGTTCAAATTTGGCTCGTTGGCTCATCAAATTCTGTTCACGAGTCATTTATTAAGTCGAGCCCGAACTAACTCACGAGTTGACTTGACTCATTAGGCTTCCTTTGTGATGAATTTCTTACTATTTTGTAAATCAACTTTTTAGTATAAAAATTAAATTTTTTTTTCCTAAAATTTTACTTCAAAAAATAGTAAAAAAAACTATTGAGGCTTATCGCAAAAATAACAGATGTCGCTGGCCAACATATAATAACAATAGTGTGTTTTTTTTTTTTCTTATTTTCTACTTTCAAACAACACGTGGCCAACTTGGATATTTGACTACAGGCTCAAAGCTTTTGTACTCTAATAATGGAGCAGTCAACTTAGTGCAGATAACAATTTTCTTAATAATTTAAGTCTTGTTGCGTCCACGGGTATTCGTGGCGGTAGAGAAATATCATATTTAACGTCTTAGCATTGTACGAAAATTCGGCACGCAATCAGATAAGGAGAGGGGGTCTAGCATTTATGAGACACCAAGATTTTTACGTGAAAAACCCCTGTAAAAGGGGGAAAAACCACGGGGCCTTGCCAGTTTGAACGAATCCACTAGTATTTGCAGTCGATTACAAATGAGGCCCTTCCTTGGGAGAAGGCCTTAGCTTGATGTACATCTCATGGAGTACATTACATGATGTAAATACATACTATCGACGTATTCGCTTTGTTAGAGGGACTGCAGTCGGTGGGCGACGTAGGTCAGGAGGACCATAGTCAGCTGGCGACGAAGGACTGTAGTCGGCGGGCGACGTAAGTCAGGAGGACCATAGTCGGCTGGCGACGGAGGTCGGAATGACTGTAGTCTGACGACGAATATCAGTAGGACAGCGTCAGGTAGAAGTCCACCAATGGAAAGAAATGCATCTTCGTATAGACGTCCAGCGAAGTCCGATAACCGGTAGAAGTCCGGAGTCGGGTAGAAACTTGGCGAAGTGTGAAGGTCCGACGTCGGGTAGAAGTCCGACGTCTTTGGTGGAAGAGGAGAACTCCGCCTTCACTTGGGCGGAGTTTAGGCGTCAGGAGGGAGTTGGGAAGAATTTCAGCATCCCATGGAAGTTGGGCAGAATTCTGGTGTTCTCCCGAATATCCGGCAGAGTTCCGGCGTCTTCAGGCGGCAGGAAGCTAGAGCTCTGACGGTGGTCAAGGAGGTGAGGAATCTCCTTTTCCCCTTTCTCCTCTCCTTCTTCTCTCTCTTCACTTGAGCCCCC